TGACCACCTGCTGCAATGCAACCTGAGCCCTGCCTCATGCACAATGGAGGACCTTCTTGCGGCAACACCAGAGGCACTCCAAGTGGCCAGATACTGGTCAAAGGACATTTAATCAACTACCAAGTTTGCAAACTTTGTGTGTTTTTATCTGTTTGTTTGTTTTGTTCTGTTAGAAATGTAATACAATGGTCTGGTTGCCCATGACATGATAAATAACGTCCAAAATCTTGTGGTGAGGACAAATGACATCGATTCACAATGAGAATGACAGTCAAATTGATGTTGTGAATTTTAATGTGCCTTTTATTAGTGGATTTTAACTTATGTTTTAAATCTATGTATCTTGTATGTGTTTTAATAATGTTTTATTTTTGTTTCCATGATGTTGTAGCCCGTGATTTTGTCAGTGTTTATTGTTTCCAAATGCCGGCTGAGAACTTTTGGCATGGCACCCAGTGTGCCAATGACCACTGGGTCCACCTGTACTGGTTTATGCCAGAGCCTTTGCAGTTTGATTTTGAGGTCCTCTCAACTCAATCCCTCCTGCATTTCGGCTAAATGTCTGATACTTCCGGGTTTTACAGCATGTGAGGAATGGTCCTACAAATGTTCCTGAAAATTCTCATGAAAATGGGGGCAAACAAGACCTCTACTATTGCTTTGTAGCTTTTTTTTTTTTGTCGTGTCAGGAGCGTCCTGTTGTGAGAGAATTGGCCATCTGCAAGGACGTTGCTCAGGGGATGCCCGGATGATTTTGATGTTTTTATCATCCTTGTGGGAGGCTTCTCTCATGTCCCCGCATGAGGAGCTGGAGCCGATAGAGGGAGCTCATCCGCCTCTCCCTGGATTCAAACCTGCGACCTGTCGGTCTTCAGTCCTGCCGGCACAGGGGTTTAACCCACTGCACCACCGGGGGCTTTGCTCTGTAGCTGATTCCATTATTAGCCTCCATTCTCACCCGACATCACCCCAGGAAAGGAGAGAGCTAGTAAGAAGGCCTGAGAAGGAACTCCTAAAAGTACACCGTAAGTATTCTCAAAGACCATTCTATAATCCACTCAAATCTTTTTCCCAAGAAAACTGTGAATAGCTGAGCTAATTATGGGTGAACCAAGGAAACAGCCTTCATTTGCTATTTTCATTAACTTTCACATGGGAGCTACCCAGCTGAGCAAGCCCAAATAAACATTTTTCATCTGAGTAATGTCTAACTAAAATGTCTAATGCCTTTACAAGTCTGTCCTTCTAGCGGTGTGCAGAATGAATTTCCAATAAATATGGATATTGTTAAATTGTTTATCCTAACTGTGCAAAAGGACAAACCATACCTTTTGTAGAATATACGCTTATCTGAGATATGGTGTTCCAAAAGTTCTGCATGCATGACAATCATTAATGCTAACGGAGACTATTATTCCAATGTGGATGTATTAATACACCGTGACAGTTTGGGTAATAGAAAAGCTAATATTACAGTCCACACTCTTTGTTTACTTGCAGCTTCCTTGCCTTTTATAGGCAAAACCCAGCACAGGAAAAGATCTATATTCATCTCTGCTACCAAATGTAATAGCATTGCTCAGAAGCAATTATAACATACTACACTATGACCTTACAATTCATTACATATTATGGACTACTTTAAATGTCCAAAATCTCCAGTAAGAAATCTCACAGCTCAATGGGACTGTCTTGGCTGGAGACAAGTTTCAGGTACTTTTCCTGGATGTGATCTTTGAAAACCTGTGGAGGATGCAAGTTGGGATTAAAGTAGGGGATGCAAGGGGAAAATCTTGAGATTGAGGTTTGAAACATTTAGCTTCTAGTGGAGCTTTTAAAATGTTTTGTTTAAGCATTAAGATTGTGGCTCTTCAAGCAGCCATTTGTGGACTGTTAAATTTCTTCCAGCGAGTAATTCCAAAATCTATGGGCAGCAGATGAAAAGCTCCTCTGGGTAACCATTGCCAGTTGGATTTTGGCTGGTTGGAGAATGCATCCCCCAGAGGAATCCAATGTCCTAAGGGGCAGATTTTATGGGAGAAGGATATCCTGTAGATAACTTGATCCCAAACCATGTAGGGCATTATATGATACAACCATCACTTTATGTCACTGTTCCCTCCATGACAACTGAACTAAGAGACATTTGTCTGCACGGAGGTCCTCATAATCTAATCCAATACAGAAGTATGTCCAGATACTACCTGGGACAGTACCATAGTTGTCATGGCACCCACAGTCATTTCTGAGAGTGAGGTTTCTGCATAATTGAGCATGTCCCTGAATCTAGATCTCCCAAATGGTAATTTAGCTTTATAACTACCACAGCACAACAACCAAATAAAATATGAGGTTTGAAATAAAAATTGCTCAAATGTTATTATTATTATTATTATTATTATTATTTCATGCATTTCTACCCTGCCCTTCTCCCCCCGAAGTGGGACTCAGGGCGGCCTCACACAAGAACCATACGATGCTATCAACATATAAAACAGCCTAAAATACATTAAAAATATTAAAAATCATTAAAAAATTTATTATACAATTCATTTATACAGTAACTTATGCCAGTTAAAACCAAATCCAAGTATGGGCAGATTCAATGTCGCATTTCCAATTGCCACTGCCCACTAATCAAACACCTGGTCCCAAAGCCATGTCTTCAATTGTCTTCTAAAGGACAGGAGGAGGTGGCCAACCTGATGTCCCTGGGGAGAGAGTTTCACAGATGGGGGGCCACTGCCGAGAAGGCTCTGTCTCTTGTCCCCACCAACCGCGTTTGCGATAGTGGTGGGATCGAGAGCAGGGCTTTCCTGAAGATCTTAAACTTCATGATGGTTCATAACAGGAGATACGTTCGGACAGGCAATCTGGGCCCGAACTCTTAACTCCAGCATATAGAATATGTCTCGTTGGCTAAAAAGTATTAATCAATTACAGTTCTACAGAACAACTGCAGCTAAACTTATTACAGGAATGCCATCCTTGCTAGTATTCAACATGGCTTTCTCAAGAACAAGACATGCAAGATGAATCTTTTTTTGACAGAGTTACATGCTTGGTAGATGGAATACTGTGATATAGAATATTTCAATTTTAGCAAGGCTTTTGATAAGGTCCCCATGTTATTCTTACAAAGAAGCCAGTAAAATGTGGGCTAGACAATACAACTGTTAGGTTGGCTGAGAATTGGTTAACTGATCGAACCCAAGGGTGCTCACTGCTTACCAATGGTGTGCCTTCATCATGGAGAAAAGTGACAAGTGGGATGCCACAGGGTTCTGTCCTAGGTTCAGTGCTATTTAACATCTTTATCAATTAGTTGAATGACGGAATAGAGGAATACTAATCAAATTTGCAGAGGACACTAATTTGGGAAGGATAGCTAATACTCTAGAGGACAGGATCGGGTAAGAAAGCTGGGATAAAATTAACAATGAATTTCAAACATAGGAAAGAAAACGGACAGACACCTGGCTTGAAAACAGTGCATATGAGAGTGATCTAGGAGTCTTAGGCCACTTCCACACAGTTGAATAGAATCATAGAGTCATAGGGTTGGAAGAGACCTCATGGGTCATCTAGTCCAACCCCCTGCCAAGAAGCAGGATTATTATTATTATTATTATTATTATTATTATTATTATTATTATTATTTATTTGTACCCCGCTAGCATCTCCCGAAGGACTCGATGCGGCTTACAAAGGCCAAGGCCTCAAAACGCAACATAACAATACACAACCTAAAGCAACCTAAAGCATTCAAAGCACCCCTGAATAAAATCCCCCATTTTCTGCTTTGAACTGGAATATATGGCAGTGTGGACTTAGGTAACTGAGCTCAAAGCAGATATTGTGGGATTTTCTGCCTTGATATTCTGGGTTATATGGCTGTGTGGAAGGGCCCTTAGTAGACCACAAGCTGAACATGAGTCTTCAGTGTGATGCGGCAGGTAGAAAAAGCAATTCACTTCTAGGCAACATTCAAAGGAATACAGTGTCTACATCAGTGGTTCTCAACTTGTGGGTCCTCGGGTGTTTTGGCCTACAATTCCCAGAAATCCCAGCCAGTTTACCAGCTGTTTACATGTGGGGACCCACAGGTTGAGAACCACTGGTCTAGATCAAAGGAAGTAATAGTCCCGCTCTACCTGGAATACTTTGTTCAGTTCTGGACACTGCAATTCAAAAATGATATTAACAAGCTAGAACAGAGCTTTCTAAACTAGGTATTGTAACACATTATTGTGTCAGCTACAGTGTGTCACATAAACATGATGGGTAACCACTGAGTTTGTTTTTGGGGGGCTGAGTCTGAGTGAAAGAGGGTCTACCCTAGCAAACTTTTGTATCATTACCCCAATACCCCCATGCATATGGGATATATTGAGCATGGTGATCAGATCATGATATGAATAAATATAACAGTTTAAATAATGTACCAGTAAGAAGGCCTTCTCACGGACCATAGAATCATAGAATCATAGAATCAAAGAGTTGGAAGAGACCTCATGGGCCATCCAGTCCAACCCCCTGCCAAGAAGCAGGAATACCATCAGAATTTGGGGGGGGGGGCTGAAGCCCCCCAAGCCCCCCCCCCCCCACCGGCTACATGCCTGCATTGGTGTGTCAGCTACAGTGTGTCACGTAAACGTAATGAGAAACCATTAAGTCTGTGTGAAATAATAAAAAATATCTTTTAAAATATATAAATGAAAGGTTTTCATATGTTGTATAATTATACATTGCATTATTCCAATTTATGCATCTGTTCATATAGGTTATGAGAGGTTGATTTAAACTCTACTTTAGTAGTAAAAATGAATTACTGTGTTGTGAAATGATGCATGGCTAAAAAGTGTTTCACTGACATCAAATGTTTGGAAAGCTCTGAGCTCAAACATGTCCAGTTGGTCTTCTCCAATTCTATGATTCTAATGTTTCTACTAAAATGCAACATGCTTATTGTATGAAAGAGAGTAACAAAACCGCCCTACCTCATCTTGACTTATTATTTTACTTTTTTCAGTTCTTGACTTCTTTCGTAGTAGTTTGGTTTCATATTCCGGTCTCGGATATTCCTAAAACAAATTTAAAATGTCAGAAAAATGTAATTCTTAGTACTCACAAAGAATTAAACTACGTAAAAAATACATCAAGGCATTATTAAAACCCCAAATAGCTTGGAACCTTGATACTTCAGATCAGTGGTTCTCAACCTGTAGGCCCCCAGGTGTTTTGATCTACAACCCCCAGGAATCCCAGGCAGTTTACCAGCTGCTAGGATTTCTGGGAATTGAAGGCCAAAACATCTGGGGACCTATAGGTTGAGAACCACTGCTTTAGATAGTGATCTTTCTCTAAATGCTGCTCCAATATCTGAGGGGTCCTCTTCTTTATCCCATCAAGAGTGAAAAATATGTGTGGGGATATTGGGATAGTACCGTTTCTGTTGTTGCCTCCTTGTTGTGGAATTCTGTCCCCTGGAGGCCTGATTGGCGCCAGCAGTAACATTTTATTTATTTATTTACGACATTTAGATGCTGCCCTTCTCACCGTGAAGGGGACTCAGAGCGGCTTACAAGATATATATACATATAATATATTATATTATTAGCATAGTACAATATCAGTACTATATATTACTATATTGTACTATACCATTATATTGTAATATTATTAGTAACATTACATGTAATATAAAATATATACTGTATATACTCGAGTATAAGCCGACCCGAATATAAACCGAGGCATCTAATTTTACCACAAAAACTGGGAAAACATCTTGACTCGAGTATAAGCCGAGGGTGTGAAATGCAGAAGCTACTGGTAAATTTCAAAATAAAAGTAGATGCCGGTAAACTTACATTAATTGAAGAATCAGAAGGTTAATTTTTTTTTGAATATTTACATAACACTGTAATTTAAGATAAGACTGTCCAACTCTGATTTTAAGCTTCTTCAGTGTAAATGTGCTTTTGTGTCCTTCCAATAATAATAAAGAGAGTAACATAATAAATGCAATAATAATAATAGAGTAAAATAATGGAAATGTAATAACAGTAATAATAGAGTAAAATAATAAATGTATTATTAATAAAACAATAATAAAGTAAAATAATAATAGAGTAATAGTAGTAGTAGAGTAAAATGATAAATGTAATAATAATAATAGAGTAAAATAATGCACATAACAAAAATAATAATAACAGAGTAAAATAATAAATAACCTTGACCCGAGTATAAGCAGAGATGAACATTTTCAGCATATAAAAGGGCTGAAAAACTAGGCTTATACTCGAGTATATACAGTAATCATAATATCATATTATTATTAAAATCATTTCCATGCTAAGTTAAAATTTGGAGTTTTAATACAGCCTTCACACTAAATTGGTTTTTTTTATCCAGAATGGCTCAGTGTTTAGTCCAAGAGTACAGCTAAATTACAAATAGTGAGATTTTATCCCTTCCATACTGACATCAGTCACCAGTTTCACACTAAGACAGTTTCCTTGGAAAAAGATGGAGGAAAAAGATGGAGGAAGATGTGGTGTCATCAAAGTGTCATGTTCCCATCCCCTTCGCACCACCATCTCAGTAAAGTCTTCACAACCCCTTTTAGGAAGGATGGAACATTGCCTGGCTGCAATCTGGATTATTGCCTTGTTGTAATATTCTAGAAAAGACAACACTTCCTTTAATTGCTTGGCTAGTTCCCCTCTGTCTGATTTATGAGCCAGGAAGGGCAAGGGTCTGGATTGTATACAGTTGCTCTCACTTTTGCCTGAGCTCAAAATTATGGAAATGGTGGGAATATTCTGTTTTTATTTGGACCAGTTATCTTGCTTTTAGTTTTGGTTCACGTGATTTTCAATAACTGTCTGGCAGAATCATCCTAGGAGTACAGACTATCCATGCTTATGTATGTATCTGTTCTCCTTACATGGATATTTAACTTTCTCCAACCAGAGCTATTTAAAATATTGTTCCAAGTAAAGGATTTTCTCATATCAGTGATGAAAACTCCAAACTTTTCTTAAGGATGTAACTCCAAGAAGATCAGTGATCACTTTAGTGATTAACTGAAAGGTTGGAAAAGACAGTCCCAAGCATGATTAACTCTGCATTGCATAATATAGCCATACATACAAAGCTCAAGTGCTGCTCCCAAAGTGCCTAAATTGTAATATTTTTTCTATTGTTGTGAAATAAAAAAGTGGTTGCCAATCCATTAATTCCACACCCTTTCATACAGGTCTTTTTGCAACACAACTGAAATCTTTGTGTATGCTTTTTGGAATATTTTCAGGGTGTCCATTGCCTGACTAGCAGTAGCAGACATATTGCATTCTAGGTTTCAGTGGCAAGCTAACTATTTCAAAGATGTGCATTTAATGGTGTGTAATGTGCTTTTCATTTTTCTGTTGCCAATTTTAATTTGCAATTTGTTGTTTTTTCTTATTGTATTTTATTTTTGTACTTAAATATTTTTGACCTGAGATATATATACACACACACATACACACACACACACACACACACACACCGTCCCCTGCCACGCGGTGCTGTGGCCCAGTCTGTGTATATGTGTTTTGTGTGTGTGTTTATGTGCACATATATATTTGTGTATATGTGATTTTGCCCATGCATTGTAATGTATTTTTTATTTTTTTTGGCTTTTTAAGTCTCTTACCCTGGGTTTTTCATTGCTTTTATGTGTGATGGTCACTTGTTGGCCTGATATGTGTATTGTGTCCAAATTTGGTGTCAATTCATCCAGTAGTTTTTGAGTTATGTTAATCCCACAAACAAATATTACATTTTTATTTATATAGATATACTAGCCATCCCCTGCCATGCATTGCTGTGGACCAGTCTGTGTATATGTGCTTTGTGTGTGTATATATATGTGTGTGTATTTGTATATATGTGTATATGTGTGTGTGTTTGTGTATATCTGTGGTTATGCACATGAATTGTAATGTTTTTTTTTTTGCTTTTTAAGTCTCTTCTGCTGTTTTTTCTTATTGTATTTATGAATGATGGTCACTTGATGACCTGATAGGTGTATGGTGTCCAAATTTGGTATCAATTCGTCCAGTGGTTTTTGAGTTATGTTAATCCCACAATTGAACATTACATTTTTATTTATATAGATATGTAACCCATAGAGAAAACTAGACTTCATACGCATGACAAACCATTACATATGCACACACATTTATTCAATGCTGTATTTCTATTCGGTTTTAAAGTCATGACTATGAAGCCTATTTTCCCCTCTTTTACATTTTAATTTTACAATGCAATGTAATTCTGTGTGAGATATTAGAACAGCCACTGAAACCATAATGGATGCAGGACGATAACAGTGTGGGGAGTCAGTGCTACCAATGTGGGAGGAGCAAGAGCCACAGGGTATTGGATGCTTTTCGCATTAAATTGTTTGCTCTGGATTCTGTAGTTAAAAAATAATGGGAAATGAAGGATGAAATTAAGGATACTTAGCATTAATTGGATGACAGAAAAAAATGTTTTTCTTACTATGAGAAAATGGCTCAGCGGCAACTCAAGGGTTAGATAATGCTGCTTGCAGACACAAGCTAACTGTAGTGAAGGTGTTTAAGAACTGGGTAGATTCGGTTTGGAAAGTGATATCAACTAGTAACCACATATATAATAGCAGTTACAATTATTTTCAAATTTATTTTGGAGGGAAATACTGCCACCCAATGGAGTCAAGTTTTAATGTTAAAAGTTGTTAAAAAGTTACCAGGGCCACAGAGAGAGACCAATGACCTTATCATCAAGGCTAGGTGAAGTGTCTTGCTTTGCCTGGCTTCACGGAGGAAAGAGAGGGGCAGCGGGTTTAATCTTTGCTGAGTGCACAGCTCCCTTTCAGTGATGCTTCCCCCATCACACTTGGGAAGTGTTGCCCTTCTGGGGATGATCCACGCTACCTCTATTGGAGACAGCACAACAAGGGAAGACTCCCATGTTGTGAGGGAAGTGTCCAGTGACAGTTCCACCCTGGTTGGGAACAAGGACTCCACCAGAAGTCACACGATGTTGTGTGACGGCTGGTGTGGGGCTCCATGCCCAAAACAGTCTGGAAGCATCGTAGGATGCTGAATTTGGAGAGTGTGATAAGGCCGCAAGAGAACTGAAACAAAATGTTAATTATAGGATACATCAACATATTTATGAAAGTGTAAACCTTTTTTCTGTTGCTCCAGAGACTAAGGGCACATCTACATTGACCAATTAGGTCAGTTTCAAACCAACATAGAAGTGGGTTCAATGTCTGAATTATTAGCTTGGTAATCATGGAAACAGTTCAAAGTCTTCATGGTGATTACACACACTACAAGCATTGGTCTTGAGCTAGTTCAAAGAGCCACAATATCCATGGTTTGGCAGCTGTGGCAAATGTGGTTTCATTTTTTGACTCACCTACGAAGCTGATTTTAGTGATTTACACTAAAACCTGCGGATGAACAAATAGGGGCTCTATCCCCCAAATTTGCTTGTGTGTGTGCATAGTCTAGCCACCACATTTTCAAGCTAGTTTGAAGCTGCATTAAATGGTTAGTGTAAATGTTGCCCAAGACATGGAGCAATAGATTCAACCCAAAAGAAAAGAGATTCCAACTAAACATAAATAAAGTCTTCAGCAGATTGACTCTTATTGTTTAACAACAGATTTAGTGTTCCACAAATAGCAGAAACTGAAGCTGTTTAAATAAAACTTACTTCTTCTTCTTCTAAACCAGTTAGATCCCAGAAGTAACTCAGCCTCATCTGCAAACGCTTCCAGTTTTCAAGAAACATTGTAGCTGAATAATAATAATAATAACAACAATAATAATACCAGTAATAGTAATAATAGTTTATTTTCCAACAAAACTTCATATTCAAAATAATCAGAACACAATTATTACAAATTACTGATATATTAAAATGTAAAGAGTTATAACATAAGCCCTGTTTGGCAGTTTGTATTTTTGCGTACTAAAGTGAGTGAAGAAGAAAATGCAGGAAACCTACTCACCATGATGAACATCATTGTCATTATCAGTCTAAAGCAGTGGTTCCCAACCTTTTTTTGAATAGGGACCACTTGACCAGGGACCACTCTCCAACGTAAGTAGCAGAAGGGTTACAAATCAGTTTTTGGTAAACTTTAGATTCGTTTTGGTTATTTGGAATGCTGATTCAGAAAATTGCACTGGATAGACCACATCAGCTCTAGTTTCTGATACAGAATATATGCCATCCAGTAGTTGCCATCTGCTCGCCCATAAAAAACCATATGTAACAAGCATTGGAACTATAAGAGAGTTACGTGAGACCAATTGCTCTAATGGTAAGACCGTGAACCATATTTTAGTTCTTGTGGACCATTGGTGGTCCATGGACCACAGGCTGGGAACCATTGGTCTAAAGCAGGGGTCCTCAAACCTTTTAAACAGAGGGCCAGGTCATAGTCCCTCAAACTGTTGAAGGACCAGATTATAATTTGGAGAAAAAAAACATGAATGTTTTTTCACTGCACATATCTTATTTGTAGTGCAAAAAACACTTAAAACAATACAATAATTAAAATGAAAAACAATTTAAAAATATAAACTTTTTTGGGAGGGGAAGTGTGGGCCTACTTTTGGCTGATGAAATAGGATTGTTGTTGTTCTTGTGTGCTTTCAAGTCATTTAAGACTTAGGTTGACCCTGAGCAAGGGCCGGGTAAGTGATCTTGGAGGGCCGCATCCGGCCCCCGGGCCTTAGTTTGAGGACCCCTGCATATATAGAATTTCTTCCATGCACACTGACCAGCAGTGCCAATAGAGAGAACAACCCACTTGCTATGAAGTATGAGAATGCCAATTTCATTTATGCTACCATCTCATGTCTACCTTAGCAATCTCTTTGATTTTTTAAAATATATGATTACTATTCCTTTGCGATACCAGATATGCCTGGAAAGCCCAAAACCAAGCCCTCTTAAGCAAATATCCAAAACAACTATTTGCCTCCATTATCAGCTAATCAAAGATGTATTAATCAAAGTACATGTACATTAATTTATCTTCCTTGTTTTATTTTTTAAAAACCCCTCTTCTTATGTACAAATATAGGGGGGAATCTCAAAAATCCTTTTGATACAATGATATAAAAAGATATAAATTAAGTAAACTCCGGGAGATTTCTCTTCTTATTGTTTAACAAGTGCAGCCTCGGGGCCACCAGAAGTATGTTAGTCAGCAAACTCTGCCAGAACAACTATTAGCTGAGGAGACCAGCAAATTAAAAGGCCCAAGAAAGCACCTTGTGCCAGGAGAGAACAATTAGAACTCGGCAGTATGGGCTACTGAAGTCCCTTCACTGTCTGCCACTTAGTTTCTGGGAAAGTACAAAGTGCTTATTATAACCTTTGAACATACATGGTTTGGGTCCATATAGTAATCTGCCCCATACACTTAGGTCCTCTGGGGGGAAGTTTACTCCAACCAACCAAAACCCAACTAACACCTGTCATCCAGAGGACCTTTTCATTTGCCGCCCGAAGACTGTGGAATGACCTGCCAGAAGTGTACTGACAGCGAAAATAGCTGTCAAAATTTAAAACACAATTGAAAACTCATCACTTCCAGCATGCCTACCCATTAATCCCTTCTCATTAATCCCTTCCCTTTCCATTGTTAGTTTTTATTTGGTCATATGAAAATTGAAAGTAAAACTTACCCCAGAGTGCCATGAAAATGGAGAAGAAGACTGTAGCAGGATTGTCAAATAAATGACTGGCCCGTGCTGTAGCACAAGCGGTGCTAAGGTTCCAGTAGTCACAGATCTTGTCACAGAGCGGGCACATGATAAAGGTATTGTGGTGGTCACACATCTCCTTGCTATGTAGAGTAAAACCCATAACATCAGAAGAAATTATGATTATTATTTTCTCACTTTTCTCCCCATATAGGGACACAAGGTGAATATTAATAATCACAGAACAATGCTCACAAAACAATGTAAATATGTGGAAATGAAATAAAATAAAAAATAATTAAAAATAATTAAAAATAATTTAAAATAATTTAAAATTTAAAATAATTAAACAATTTATAATATTTAAACCATTAACATTAACATGTTAAAACACATTAAAGTTTTATTCCCACAAGTCACACTCTCTTGAAAAGCTCAAAATTTATTAGTTTATACATGTTTAATGGCAGAGAAACCAGAGAAGAGGATAACAACTTAGATCAAAGACCACAGTTGAGAAGATTGGAAGTCAAACTCTTCACCCCCCAATACATTTTTTCTTCCTCCCCCCTAAACCTTCCTATGAACTTCCCGTACACCTTCCCGTAGAGCAGGGGTCCTCAAACTTTTAAAACAGAGGGCCGGGTCACAGTCTCTCAAACTGTTGGAGGGCCGGATTATAACTTGAAAAAAACATAAATGAATTCCCGTGCACATTGCAGATATCTTATTTGTAGTGCAAAAACACTTAAAAACAATACAATAATTAAAATTCAGAACAATTTTAACAAATATAAATTTATTAGTATTTTAATGGGAAGTGTGAGCCTGCTTTTAGCTGATGAGATAGGATTGTTGTTGTTGTTGTTGTATGCTTTCAAGTCATTTTAGACTTAGGTTGACCCTGAGCAAGGGCCAGGTCAATGGCTTTGGAGGGCTGTATCCGGCCCCCGGGCCGTAGTTTGAGGACCTCTGCCGTAGAGAGTTAGGAGATACCCCCTTTCCCCATTATTTATCCCACTATGCCAACCCCTTTTCTGTCTTTCTTTCTTTCTTTTTTATCTATATTCTTGTAAATACAATTCACTAATACAAGTAATTTTTTAAATGGCAGCAAAATGTTTTTGCCTTGGGTAGAAGGCAAAATCGAAAAATGTGCCATTGATCTTTGTAGATCATTCTTAAGTTGTTTAAAACAATACATAGTAATAGCTCTGTTCATAGAAATCTGATACAAATGTATAAATAAATACTTTTCAAGTAAAACAAAGTGCACAATAATGAGAAATATACCGTATGAATTAAATCCAGTTGTTAATCCTAATATACTCTTATAAGTCAAAAAATCAACCCAATTCACCTGGGTCAATTTATCCAGGGTCAATGTAAGTAAACTTAATTTTTATTTAAAAAGAAACCATTCCTTTTAAGTGGAGTGGCAAAATGTGAAGGCCAGCCTGTCACCTTTTGGGAGAAGCGATGAGGAGGAAATAGGAATGAAGGAAATGCACCACCAAAGGGTAAGGGTACCAAAAGAGTAAAATTTTCTCATTCTTTTTCAACTTGTGTTTCTAAAATTAAGTATAGATTCTGTAAAGCTTCCATATCTGCAAATCCATATGTTCTGAATGCTGGACACGAAGACAATATACCCTAACTCATATCCCCCTATGAACCATCGCGGAGATTAAGATCCTCCGCCATGGTTCATCGCGGGGAGGCCCTGCTTTCTGTCCTGCCATTGTCACAGGCATGATTAGTGGGGACAAGAGACAGGGCCTTCTCGGTGATTGCTCCCTGGCTATGGAACTCCCTTCAGGTCAACCCCCTCTCTCCTGTCCTTTAGAAGAATGGTAAAAACTTAGCTGTGGGACAGGGCAATGAAGCAGCAATAGGAAAGATTACCAGGCCAATTAGATTTGACACTGATGACTACGATGGTTTTAAATGGTGTATTTTAATATTGAGATAAATGATTTTAATGTTTATGTATGTGTATATGAATTTGTGTCCCGGCATTTAATGTTTGCCATATATATGCTGTGCTCCGCCCTGAGTCCCCTTCGGGATGAGAAGGGTAGAATATAAATCTTTTAAATAAATAAATAAATAAATTTGGATATCATGTATATTTTCTTACCTAGGAATGTCATTTTCAATGGTTACACATCCATACAGGAACACTATGATTCCAACTATAGAAGATGGAATGAGAAACTCTGTGTACAGGCCCAGCCAGGCAAAATACATTCCAATTTTTTCTCCGAAATACTTCCTAAAGAGAGCATAAAATAAAATCCAAAAGATTAGTCATAGAACTACTATATACTATTTTCATTAAGTATTCTACAAAGAACATTGCCCTGCCCACACCATCTTTACTGGTCTGAGTAGTAGGGCTGTGCAATCGATGGGGGAAAAAAGTTTCAAAACACATTACAAAATTAGGGGTGCCGGTATTTCATTTCTCAAGTTTTTGTAAAGTATCGTTATAAAGTATTGTGAATATTTAGCTATATCCTGACTAAAAAGTAGGGGAAGGACAATGAAAGCAACCTGCCTCTATTAACACATTGTCATACAGTCACATGACAATCAACTTATATTGTCTGGATTCATTTTTGTCAATTTATTTTTACTTCTACACAAATCTATACAACAACTCATGTCATTTGGCAGGTCTTTGCAAAATGCATCCTGCTTCATCTGATGCACGGAGAATTGCCTTGGCAGTTATTTATATACACATTTGGAGTGGAAGGATGTAGGTCAGTGAAAAGAAAGGAAACAGAAATGTAAAAAAGTACATATATTTATCATTAACTGAACTAGCATTAAAGAAAAACAAGTGAGTGGAAGAATAGACATCTTTGTACAGACAAGCTTTTTAGCATGTACATTTTAAGAAAATGTTAATTAGGTGAAAGACAGATAAGGGAGATCATTTCATCGTTACAGTAATATTTTATCTCCGAAGGAAATAAGACCATGCTTTTTTTGCCTTTGAGTTTCTCCTTGCTTTCTTCTGTATTTCTTCAGGGAGTGGTCAACCCCACTGTTTAAGGAGCTCCACTGGCTGCCGCTCATTTTCCGGTCCCAATTCAAGGTGCAGGTTCTCACCTACAAAGCCCTGAACGGTTTGGGACCCATCTACCTGCGTGACTGCATTTCCGTTTACGAACCCACGTGATCTCTTCAATCATCTGGAGAGGCCCTGCTCTCACTCCCGCCCCCTTCGCAGGCATGACTGGTGGGGAAGAGGGGCTTCTCTATGCGTGTTTTTATGAGTGATGGTCACTTGTTGGCCTGATAGGTGCATTGGGTCCAAATTTGGTGTCAATTTGTTCAGTGGTTTTTGAGTTCTGTTAATCCCACAAGCAAACATTACATTTTTATTTATATAGATGACTAGCTGTACCCGCCATGCACTGCTGTGGCCAACCTTCCCTCCCTTTTCCTTACCTTTTTTTCTTTCCTTCTCTCTTTCCTTCCTTCCCTTTTTCTTTCTCTCCTCTCTTCCTTCTCTACCTATTCTTGGACTGTAACTCCCAGCAGTACTCCTGATTGATCTATCTACCTACTATCTATCTCTATCTAATCTATATATCTTATCTATCTGGAGGATTGCTGGGAGTTGCAGTCCAGGAATAGGAAATAAAAAATATGTACAGATTGGGATGCTGTAATGAACTCATACCTTTTCTTCGTAGGCCACAGCCTGGAAGTCAGTGAGCTGGCCTCCATGTTGGGAAGGCAGCTCAGGATGGCGGACATGATGGTATAGGCAGAGAGGCAAGGGGAGGAGTCAGCTAACTCCTGATTGGTTCAGACCCCAAGGGGAGGAGTTGAAGGAGAGTGTAAATAGGCTGTCATTTCTGACAGAAGGAGGGAGAAGGATTTGATCTAGCAGAGAAAAGATTAGGATTTCAGACAGGGAGAAGAGAGTTTCTTAGTGAGCTAGGAATTAGCCTGTTAGGGAATAATTAAAGAGCAAGTGCTTCTGTATAGCTTGACTAGGGCAGTCAAAGTGAAGGCTTGTTTACTTGTATTAGGATAGAATACAAGTGGGTTTATTTCCCTAAAGTTCAGAGTAGTCCAGGGGAAACCTAGACACTCTGGAAGGCAGCCAGGGGCGGCTGGTCAAAGAAACGCACTGTTACATATTATAGGATAGTGTGAGGAAAGTAGCTCATGTTAAGGAAAAGTTACTCCTTCTAAAGAAACCATTTGCTTAATAAGTCTGTGCTTCAGAAACAAACTACGCGTATGTACCTCTCAGTAGTCTGTTGTTTGCGTCAAATACTTCAATAAACCTGTTCTCTAGTTTACTGTTAATCTGCCTCCGCCTTGTTTCATCATATAAGGTTAGATCCAGTAAGCCTCCACATCTCTACAGTTCAGTCACCAGAAAAGGAGCCAGAAGGAAGAACCGGTGTATAGGGACATTTTACCTCAAGTACAACAACAAGACAATTCCTCAAACTGTAATTTGGGGTGGTGGCAGCAAACCTACCATTACACACACACCGTTCTCTCTCATCACCTGTAATTCCCTCGTACATTCTTTTACAGTGGTGTCAGCGTTGGGATTGAAAAGAAATGTTCCCCCCTGTCACACATGCATTAAGTCCCCCTTATCTCCTTTACAGATGCTCTCAAGGAAATCCAAGGAGAAGCAGCTTGCAGCTTGGAAGCAGTGCATTTGGAGCATCCTCCTCCCCTAAAGAGCCTGGTCTAGGGGATGCTGGGAGCTGTTGATTTCGTGCATGCACTGTATCGTCAGTTAGCTTTTTGGGTTTTTAAGTCCTTTCTGCTGTTTTTTGGGAGGAGTTTATGAGTGATGGTCACTCGTTGGTCTGGTAGGTGTCTTGTGTCCAAATTTTGTGTCAATTCATCCAGTGGTTTTTGAGTTATGTTAATCCCACAAACAAACATTACATTTTTATTTATACAGATGATTTTTAAAAACCTCTAGTATTTTAGCACTACAGCACAACTGCTACAAGTTATTATAGACATATTATTTGGCAACATGGAAAATACCACAGTAGTTTATTGCAGTCATGCTAAAACACTAGAGATTTTTAAAATAATTGTCTGCGAGAAAATAAGGAAGAAAAATGATAAAGGAGAACAAAATTTGGTGGAACAGAGATGTGCATATGAGGATTGCATCACAGCTGGAAGTCCATCTAAAAGCAAAACTGGGAAGGGTGCAAGGGGCTTACATATACCCAAGTCTAAGATTACGACCCACATCACAAACAAGGCAAATGAACAAAATCTGCTGCATTGCTTCAGTTTTTAAAAAATGTCAGGTGAACCATTGGATGAAGAAAGAAATGTCAAGATGCAACATTAAATAGTACTGCTTGATTGCCGTAGTGGCATGGGTCACATTTTTAATCACTCTATTAAGGGACAGGCACTGACCATAGCATTAACCAAGTCAAGGGGCAATCTGACTGGCAAATATTGCTTCCCTTGTATGGGAGGCTCAGGCAATTGAGATCAAGTGTCTGGATTCTGCTCCTAGCAGCTGAGCAGAGGCGGCCCTAGGTAATTTTCAACTGTAAGCAAACAGTATTTTGCCCCCCCCCCCCAACCAATCATTGATATATATTTTCTGTTCATCGTGGGAGTTCTGTGTGCCATATTTGGTTCAATTCCATCATTGGTGGAGTTCAGAATGCTTTTTGATTGTAGCTGAACTATACATCCCAGTAACTACAATTTGCATATGTCAAGGTCTATTTCCCCCCAAGAGCACCTCAAGAGCGCCCCTAGGCAAAATCAACTATACTGCAAATGCTTACTTTGCGTAATGGGTTGTGCTGCCCCTGCAGCTGAGTGATATAAATTGCTAGACCAGTGTTTCTCAACCTGGAGGTCAAGACCCGGGGGGGGGGGGGTTGTGAGGAGATGTCAGAGGGGTCGCCAAAGACCATCAGAAAACACTGTATTTTCTGTTGGTCATCAGGGCTCTCTGTGGGAAGTTTAGCCCAAATCGCTCATTGGTGAGGTTCAGAATGCTCTTTGATTGTAGGTGAACTATAAATCCCGGCAACTACGACTCCCAAATGCCAAGGTCTATTTTCCCCAAACTTCACCAGTGGTCACATTTGAGCATATTGAGTATTCGTGCCAAGTTTGGTCCAGATTCATCATTGTTTGAGTCCACATTGCTCTCTGGATGTAGGTGAACTACAACTCCAAAACTGAAGGTCAATGTCCACCCGACCCTTCCAGTATTTTCTGTTGGTCATGGGAGTACTTTGTGCCAAGTTTGGTTCAATTCCATTGTTGATGGAGTTCAGAATGCTTTTTGATTGTAGGTGTACTATAAATCCCAGCAACTACAACTCCCAAATGGCAAGGTCTGTTTTCCTCAAACTTCACCAGTGTTCACATTTGGGCATATTGAGTATTCGTGCCAAGTTTGGTCCAGATTCATCATTGTTTGAGTCCACATTGCTCTCTGGATATAGGTGGCGCAGTGGGTTAAAGCACTGAGCTGCTGAGCTTGTTGATTGAAAGGTCACAGGTTCGATTCCGGGGAGCGGCGTGAGCTTCCGCTGTCAGCCCTAGCTTCTGCCAACCTAGCAGTTTGAAAACATGCAAATGTGAGTAGATCAATAGGTACCGCTCTGGCGGGAAGGTAACGGCGCTCCATGCAGTCATGCCGGCCACATGACCTTGGAGGTGTCTATGGACAACGCTGGCTCTTCGGCTTAGAAATGGAGATGAGCACCACACCCCAGAGTCAGACATGACTGGACTTAATGTCAGGGGACTACCTTTACCTTTACCTTACAACTCCCAAACTCAAGGTCGATGCCCACCAGACCCTTCCATTATTTTCTGTTGGTCATGGGAATACTTTGTGCCAAGTTTGGTTCAATTTCATTGTTGGTGGAGTTCAGAATGCTTTTTGATTGTAAGTTAACTATAAATCCCAGCAACCACAACTCCCAAATGACAAAATCACCCCCCTCCCCTAACCTCACCAGTATTCAAATTTGGGCATATTGGGTACTTCTGACAAATTTAGTCTAATGAATGAAAATACATCCAGCATATCAGATAGTTACATTACGATTTATAACAGTAGCAAAATCACAGTTATGAAGTAGCAACAAAAATAATGTTATGGTTGGGGGCCACGACAACATGAGGAACAATATTAAGGGGCCATGGCATTAGGAAAGTTGAGAACCACTATGCTAGACTGTGAGTAAAGTGGAAGAGACAGTGCAAGCTCCACTATGTCACAACCATTGAAGAAAGTAAAGTATTTATGGTGTTTATGGTGTTGTTGTGTATTGATGATTTAATTTTAAATTGTAATTGCTTAATTGTTTTTATATATGTATGTATATGTGTCAAGGCATCGAATTGTGCCTGTCTCTGTAAGCCGCCCTGAGTCCCCCCTAGGGGGTGAGAAGGGCGGGGTAAAAGTGACGGAAATAAATAAATAAATAAATAAATAAATAAATTGTTAAATAAGAAAAAATGACTTAAGGAAGCTATCCAGCAGGTAGAGTAATTAACTTTGACATATAGACTTCTATAGTAAAAAAGAAAAAGAAAGAGTGAATCATTTCAAATGTCCTTTAAGAGTAAGAGGCAGTGCTTAAGGAAATAAAACTTCGAAAAAGACTTTTAAAAATACAAGTGGGAGTGCTGCAGAACACAGAAACACTTCCTTTGAAGACTTATTAAAAGGACCAGAAAATAGTTTTGAACTACTTAAATACATTTAAAGGGGTTTCTTAGCTTACTTAAGATGAAGGTCACATGCAGAAGTGTGGGAAAAGGGAAGTAACACTCTGCTTGAACTGTATATAAACTTTTACACCAAGTGAACTGAGAAAAATATTCTGGGCCACAGAGTAGTGAATGGAATAATGAGGAGAACAGTAGCATCATGTACACTGAGTTACAGGAACTAGCACTTTAACTATATAGAGAGCTAATTGTAGTTAGCTCCTCCCTCAACCAAGAGGATAGAATTATTTTGTAATAGATAGTAACTTTGTCTTGAGGAGGGGAGACATCATGTTTTAAAAATGTTTTAAATATATTTTATGAATTTTTTATCTATTTTTAAAGGGGCGATACAGGGGTGAGAAGGAATTTATAGAGAGGGAGTATTAGGTGATTGTGTTATTTTCTTGTTTTATTTCTAGTACCTATGTTTTTAAATGTTTTTCATTTATTTTCAGTTTGTTGGATTTGAGTTGTATTTTTGCAAATGTAATGAAATTAAATAAAAAACGTATTTTAACTAGAGATTAAATGACACACTTTTGCAGAATGAAATAAAAGAAATAAAGAGAAGGACTTTTTTTGAAGATAACATTAATGTAGGTACTGATATCAGAATGGTATGGGATGCTAGTAAACAGTTATGAGAGGGTTTTCTTTTTGCAACTACATTCAGAGTTTTTTTAAAAAAATACATGTATGGTGGATATTTAAAAAACACAAAATAAATTCAGGCTGAGATACATCAATTAATGGAAGATATTCCAAAATTAAAAATTCAGTTGAAACCAGATTTTTTTTTGTTGGGTTTGTTGGATGGTGTGAATGAGCCTGTATATTACTGCTACTAATTGTAAAGGCTGGGCCACTAATTTTTAATGATGCCACCAAATTGTAAGGCTGTATAAGGAGCCACCTCTTTGTGAGGGCTTATTAAATTGATGACACAATCAATAGCTTGTAATGTTGCTTTGGTCTTTCTTCAATATGTAGCATGACTTGACTTGGAAAGGAATGGTAACATAGGCTTGACTTTAAAAAGGAACTGTAACAAGTTTATTGAGGTACAGAAGCTTGATGGTTTCAAAGTTTCCTTTCTCTTAGAGGTACAAATCTTCAATGGTTACATTTATAACAGTTCTTAAATAACTCTTAGGAGGTCTAATTCTTCTAACAAACAGGTCTCAAACTTAGTTCCTTTAAAAAGATGTTTCTTCCTTTAACAGATTGTTTCAGGCACACGCTTATCCTTTCTTTATGATGGTTCTGTTACAATAAAGATACTTATTAGGGCTTCCCCTCTTTTCCCACATCAGTTACTTTTAATATAAATAAGTCACTCGACTTATCTAAACTATATTGGCTCAAAGCCAAAACCTTCCCGATTCTTAATACCAAAGAATCAGCCTTCCCCTGTAGTTCTTTGACTACAGAATACTTCACTGGTTCTCCACACACAACAGAACCAGCCACTTCTGCAGTTCACCGACCACAGACTGACTGCTTTAAAATGGCTGCTCTGCCAAGTGGCACTTGGCTCCACCCCTATCTCCATAGCAACTCAGCTCAAAGCGAGCTAAGCTGGCTACCATCCCCCAACACCATGCAATACCATATACTTACCCTTACAAACACTTATCTATAGCAATACATAACTGTAGATAAAAATTTACACTTCATCACAGATGGTCAATGTGAGAAAAAATATGGAAAAATTCTGCAGTATGTGATAACTATGTGTTAGACTACTTATATCTAGAAGTGAAAATACATGGCTACTTCATCGAGAGAAGACTGGCTGTTGAAAACAATGAAACAAACTGACAACTTTGATTAAAGCAAAGACTAAAAAACTTCAAGCAGAATTGGCAAGTTTTAAATGTATTTTAGAAAAACTATTCAGGGAGATCAGCAGTATTTGTTTTTAAAGAACAGTAGATGATCTAGTTAGAGGAAATTAGAGAACATGCCTTTTTTCTTTTTAATAGTTTTTTTTAGTTCCCATTTTTTTTCTTGTAATTGTAGCTTTATTTTTTAGTTCAATGGAGCTTTAATAATTTGTTTGTTACCTTATGAGGTCAACAGGCTGAAACTTGTAAAACACTCCATATCTTGCCCATTCTTGATACAGCAACTGAGGAAAAAACAAATAATAATGTATACATGATGACTAAATGAGGGCAGCAAGTTATCAGGAATTAATTGGAGCCAGAGTTGAGGTTCACCACATTTGCTCAAGTGCCCAGCTTTCCCACCAAGTGACAGCCCTTAACTCCAAAGTACAGTGTGAAATACAGAAGGTCACCAAGAACCACATACAAATAAACACAGCATGTCTCAAATATGTGGGATAAAGATGCAGCAAGTTTTGGAAAGGAGATACCTATCTGAGAAACAAAAATGGGCCAATACTTTCCTTTCGAATTAAGCAATTAAGATGGGGTCTGCATTCAGACGAAGCATGATCTAGATCCCCCCCTCCAAGTTTTGTCTTCAAGAATGTTTTTGGCTGGGTTTGATTATTACGTAGTGTGCTAGAAATTATTCTAAATGTATAAACAGGTAGGAATGCTAGTACAATAATGAAACAAAATGAAAGGTCCTGTATTATATTTATTAATTTTCAGGTTCTCTACAACATATATCAAGAAGAAAAATTCAAAATGTGAGAGATGTGGATATAGGAAAATAGATGCAGAAATCTGCTCGTTGTCTTTGAAATCAGACTATCGCCATACTTCAGAGCTTAGAGGTAACAAATAGACCCCACGACCTCTCTCCACTGCAGAGAAAACACTAGCTGTGACCTGAGATCTGTCCATATTATTGTTCAAGGCCCACAGGCTCTTTGAACAATATGTCACATACATAAGTCGACTTCATGTAAAAGGTGAGGGTATTACAGTAAGTCATAGCAGGATCAAGTATGTGTGTGTGTGTGTGTGAAAGAAAACCTTGTGCTGTTAATTATTATGTGCAGCTGCTAATGTAGGTCAACTAGTAAGTTTGGACCACATCCAGAGAGGTATAACTGTATGGTTTTTAGAATACAGTTCAGTTTTTTGCTCAACCATTTCTACTGCTCTCTCATTTGGATGAAGATGAAGAAACTTTATTCTGTATTGCTTGCAAAGACTATGTAAGTTTGTTGCACTGTTTATAACATTGCAAGTTTATGTTTTAACTCTGCTGATAAGAGGAAAGTTTTTCTATTCTTTTTCCTCTTGCCTGGGTGCAATGTTATTGTGTCTTCTGCTTTGGACCAGATTAAATTCCACATAAATACAACAGAGGAAAAGTCCTGGGACAAAAATTATGCATTTTGATATGATCCATGGATAAATCAAGGGTTGTTCTGTGGAGAAGGAAAACCACCAATGCTACTTCAGTGGGCTGGCCATACAACTACTGCAATTTCCCTGCACAGACATCCAGAATCTGCTCTGTGTCTCTGGACTGTGTCTAATCAGACAGGGAAGGTCAGAAGTGGAGCCACAGAATGGAGATTAGTGAGGTTTGTCTGAGAGGGACAAAGCTCTTGTATTTCACCACTCTACTTGGAGAACTGGATGGTTGATTCTTTTTTTTTTTTTAATAAGAGTTGAGGTACAGTACACACATTGACTCATGGATTGACTCATCAAGAAAATCAAAGTGCTCTTCCAGCAGTCACCAGCCATTCCCTCTCCAATGCCGGAAATACAGCTTAATGATGTAACATTAGAAAATGTTGTAATATTTCCGCTACCTTGGCAGCCACCTCTCCACAAAAGTCAACATTGACACTGAAATTCGACATGGCCTGAGCTCTGCGAGTGCAGCATTTTCCCAAATGAAGCAGAGAGTGTTTGAGGACTGGGACATTCATAGGGATACCAAGGTGCTTGTTTATAAAACTATTGTCCTCCCAACCCTGCTATACGCTTGCGAGACGTGGACAGTCTACAGACGTCACATGCAACTCCTGGAACGATTCCATCAGCGCTGCCTCCGAAAAATCCTGCAAATCTCTTGGGAAGACAAGTGGACAAATGTCAGCATGCTGGAAGAAGCAAAGACCACCAGCACTGAAGTGATGGTCCTCCACCATCAACTCCACTGGACCACCCACGTTGTCCGGATGTTCGACCACTGTCTCCCAAAGCAGTTGCTCTACTCCGAACCCAAGAACAGAAAACGGAATGTTGGAAGAGAGGAAAAGAGATTTAAAGATGGGCTCAAAGCCAACCTTTAAAACTCTGACATAGACACTGAGAACTGGGAAGCACTGGCCCTTGAGCGCTCTAACTGGAGGTCAGCTGTGACCAGCTGTGCTGTAGAATTTGAAGAGGTACTAATGGGGGGCGAAAGAGAGAAACATGCCAAGAGGGAGGCGCATCAAGCCAACCCCAACCGGAACCGCCTTCCACCTGGAAACCAATGCCCTCACTGTGGGAGAAGATGTAGATCAAGAATAGGTCTCCACAGTCACCTACGCACCCACCGCCAGTACACCAACTTTGGAGGACCATCATCCTCGGACTACGAGGGATTGCCTAAGTAAGTGACTCATGGATAAGTCTGTTTTTGAGGTTGATTTTTTGACTAAAATTTCTAGACTTATACATGAATATATAGGGAAATTATTAAGAATCTGAACTGAACTACCATTAATTAAAACCATAGAGCGTTTTAAGTGCTTTCAATGTTGAGGTTACAGATGTGGTTCATGAAGTACAATATGTGTTCAAAACATTTTCTTCTAAATGTTGCATCCCTGTTTATCACAAACAGTCCTTTTTTGTGACATATGTTGAGTATTTTAAAAAATAATTCTTAAATATATAAGCATTAAGACTATCTTAATACACTTAATAGGTAGTGAACTAGTTTTAACACACTTATGCTATTTTGTTAGTTGAACTGACAACTTGACCATAATTCAAATTGTTGTAAACTGTCAGGAAATTTAGATTTGCTTAACCCTTATGCGTTCTAAGCAAGAAGATGATAAAATGAGGATACATGAGACATGCAAGTAAAATGAAGAATAAAATGAATAATGATCCTTCCTAAATAATCCCCGTATCTGGCTACACTTGTCTGCATTTTGCCCCCACTTCACTTCCTATGTCTTATAGCAACAGTAAGACTACTCTGCTTAACTAGCTGTCTACATGGCTCTCCTGTAGTTGTTGTAGGTTGCATGAACTAAAGGAGAAACATAGACAGGATACACCAACCCACCAAACTGGGGCTGAAATAAATTATCTAGATCCATTTCAGTCTGGTTTTAGGCCTGGCTATGGGGCGGAGACAGCTTTGGTCACCTTAGTGGATGACCTACGAAGAGTTAAGTAAGTGGTGATGTGTAACAAATTGGATTGGCTAAAGAAGCTAAGTCATAGCCATGTGACAGTACTCACAAGTTTTGCATCATTTGCTTTTGTCTCTGTGCATGATTTGTGTGTGTCAGGAGCAACTTGCCTGGGCATGATGGGAAGCCAGTGTGTGTGTGTAGAGAATGGACAACATGTGCTTGACCCCTTCTCTTCTCCTTCTCTCTCACTATGATCCATCCATGAAGGAGAAACTGTCGTCATGTTGACCTCTAAGGAGGACAAGCTCATGCCATCTTGAGCTATGTGTTATGGTGATCTTTCTTCATGTTTGTGAGTATCCTGACAAAGTCTGTAAAGATCTGTAAAATGCAACAAGCCAAAATAAAGCCTTCAGAGTATTTTTGGAAGGAAACCGAATGTTCCAGTGTTTCATTAAGAGATAAGGTTCAAGAGCTGAACTATATATTGCTCTGCTAATTGCTAAGTTACTGATAAAATACTCTGCTGATATTTGACTGTGGTGATCTGCTTGCCTTGGAACATTTCGTCCATGCGCAGTATTATGGTGGCATTAATTAGAAGTTGTAAATTATGTGCCTACCTGGAGGGGTTACTGTGATTATGTGATTGTTGATCCAAACCCACGCTGACAGAACCCCCACCTCTGTAGACCATGTGCTCAAGCAGAGCATATGGACAAAAACAAACAGAAGCCCCCATGAAAGCCAACAAGTCAAAACAACAATTTGGATATCCCTCCAAATACAGTCTCTCCTCAGAGACTAAGCTGCAAAGACTGAGGAAGCAGTTATAAAGAACTACTGGCTGCTAGTTCTCCCTGCAAGTAAGTCAGTGATTTATCAGCAGTTTCATTCCCCTATACTATAATGATCAGAGAGAGCAAAACAAACAAAAGCCCTAACAGAAACATAAAAACATACTTTACCAATCTATCCGAAATATGAATTAGCAAGTGTGCAAGGAAGCAGGTGGTTGGTGTGAAGGAACTGTCAATAGGTCAATCTATTTTGGGTCAATCATGAGTTATCTGGGCAAGGTGAAGGAAGAAGTACAAGGGTAGTTGAGAACTGATCCAGATGTCATATCAGTACAAGCATGTAACTGGGGGGGGGGGGGGCTTGAGGGGCTTCAGCCCCCCCCCCCCCAAATTCTCATGGTGGTTCGCGAAAAGGCCTTACTGGTGCATTATTTAAACTGTTATGTTTATTCATATCGTGATCTGATCACCATACTCAATATATCCCATATGCATGGGGGTATTGGGGTAATGATACAAAAGGTTTGCTAGGGTAGACCCTCTTTCACTCAGACAGCCCCCCCTGAAACAAACTCAGCCCCCCTCCCAAATCAAAATCCCGGCTACGGGCCTGTATCAGTAGGTCAGATATCCAGGGATATCCGCCACTAGGAAGTAAGCACAGTAGTCCATAACCTAACCAATCCAAGATCAAGACAAAACATTAATGCAAGAGATTTCTGCTAGGCCAACAGATAAGACAGTTGTCAGCTCTAAGGCAGAGGCCTCTTCCACACTGTCCCTATATTCCCGGATCTGATCCTATATTATCTGTTTCTCCCAGATTATCAGACAGTGGAGACTCATATAATCCAGTTAAAAACATGTAATCTGGGATCAGATCCTGGGATGTATGGAAATGTAGAAGTAGCCTGACAGATCAACCAGAGACAGGATATTTATAGACAGCTCCTTAAAGGCCACAGGTACCTATTATTTCAGCATTCATTACTTAGTTGGTATGTTGGGCTTGGTGTTTCTTTCTCCATCACTCAA